TGTGTGAGCCATTCTTTCTAGAAAATAATTGAACCTGTGGAAGAGTTACAAAAACTTCTACTTTACAGCCAGTTGGTCAGAAGTTCCCGAGGCCAGGACTTGAAATTGGTAGCTAAAGTTGGAGGCAGTCTTGTGGGACTGAGACCTTATGTGGGTTCTGACACTAACTCCAGTCAGATTATATAAGAATTTAATTAAATTGTTTTGGCAGGTGTGGTGGCTAACACTTGTAATCCCAGCGCTTTGGAAGGTTGGAGTGGGCAGACCACCTGATGTCGGGAGTTTGAGACCAGCCTGGCCAACATGGCAAAATGCTGTCTGTACAAAAAATACAAAAAAAATTAGCTGGGTGCAGTGGCACATGCCTGTAGTCCCAGCTACTCAGGAGGCTGAGGCAGGAGACTCACTTGAACCCAGGAGGCGGAGATTGCAGTGAGCCAAGATAGCGCCACCGCACTCCAGCCTGGGTAACAGAGTGAGAGTCCGTCTCAAAATAATAATAATAAAATTGTGGGACACGCAGCTGGTGTCGGAGACTGGGTCAGTGTGGACCCCTCAAGCCCCACCAATATCTGATCACAGAAGTGTTCTTTGGTGAAAGTACGGTCGGGGAAAACTTTTTTCCTACTATTCCAACCTACCATGCAAGAAACATATAATTGTAGTTTATAAGACACAAAACACAAGTTTATAAACCACAATATGTAAAAAATATTTTAGAAGTGGAGAAATGCAGAAGGAAGAACTTTATTAGAGGAAAATGTCAAGGTGCTAATTTCCTTCTCGCATGAAGTGGAGTCAGCAACGCTGTCCAAGTTTAAGGAACTATAAGTACCTCGTCATTGGCAGAGGTTCTCAGCTGGGAGTGATTTTGCCCCAAGGGACATGGAGCAAAGTCTGGCAAACTTTTCGTTGTCACAACTGCAGTGAGTGTGTTATTGGTATCTAGTGGGTGGAGGCCAGGGATGCTGTTAAATATTTTCTAATGCACAGGACAGCTCCCACAGCCACCAATGATCTGGTCCCACGTGTCAGTCACACAAAAGTTGAGATACCCTGATTTACTGCTACAAAGAAAACAACAAAATATAAATAATGAAACAAAATTAGGAGAGAACAAAATGGGAGAAGGAAGAGAAAGGAAAAGGGATAAATGCAGTGGTGCAACCACAGTTCACCGGACCCTCTAACTCCTGGGCTCAGGTGATCCTCCCACCTCAGCCTCAACACAGCCACACACCACCACGCCTGGCTAAATTTTAATTTTTTAAATTAATCAATTAATTACTTTTGAGGTGTTGCCCAGGCTGGAGGGCAATCGTGTGATCTCAGCTCACTGCAACCTCTGCCTCCCAGGTTCAAGCAATTCTCCAGCCTTAGCCTCCTGAGCAGCTGAGATTACAGGCACCTGCCACCATGCCCAGCTACTTTTTGTATTGTTAGTAGAGACAGGGTTTCACCATGTTGGCCAGGCTGGTCTTGAACTCCTGACCTCATGATTCACCCACCTCAGCCTCCCAAAGTGCTGGGATTACAGGCATAAGCCACTGCCCCTGGCCTATTTTTAAATATTTTTTGGTAGAGACAGAGTTGTACCCAGGCTGATTTCTAATGCCTGGGCTCAAGAGATCCTCCTACCTTGGCCTCCTGAAGTGCTTGGATTACAACAGACGTGAACCACCATGCCCAGTTGCTTACAACTTTTGAAAATAAAAAATGTGATTTCCAAGTAAAAAAGATAAATTAATACTTCAAAATGCAAACAGACGACTATGGAGGTTTCCAAGCAATCCAGGTCCCTAAGTAAAAGGAGACACCTGGAAAGTGGTTTGGAAGCAGGGCATTGGAGTTCCCTTTGGAATACAGTATCCTAAATGTTCCTCTTTTCACCCCACTCAGGGAAGCAGAAAAGCAAATTCTTTCTCTCCTCACCTTTAAATATCCTTGTGTCATAGCAAATTCTCTCTCTCTCTCTTTTGTCTTTCTCTCTTATTAAAGAGACGGAGTCTCACTCTATTATCCAGGCTGGAGTGCAGTGATGTGATCATAGCTCACTGCAGCCTTGACCTCCTAGGCTCAAGCCATTCTCCTGCCTAAGCCTCCAGAGTAGTTGGGACTACAGGTGTGTGCCAACCACACCTGGCTCAAATTTTATTTTTTCAACTCTGATTTGTTCCACATTCACCCCTTGAATTCTGCTATCTTTTCTCCCATATTGGGTAAGTATAAAATCAAGCTTGGAAAGTGTCTAGATTCAATGCTGTTGGCAGTAGGGCCAGGACTAGGGGAAGGGAGCAAGGTAAGTGCTGAGCTGGGATGCAAATTTAAAGGGGGCCAAAAATCCCGGGAATCAAGTGGATTTGCCCATTTTCACACCTGAGACTGGGTAATTAATAAAGGAAAAGAGATTTAATGGACTTACAGTTCCAAATGGCTGGAGAAGCCTCACAATCATGCGGGAAGGTGAAGGAGGAACAAAGACACGTCCTGCATGGCAGCAGGCAAGCGTGCCTGTGCAGGGGACCTGCCCTTTATGAAACCATCAGATCTCGTGAGATTTATTCACTATCACGAGAACAGCATGGGAAAAACCCGCCCCCATGATTCAATTACCTCCCACCTGGTCCCTCCCATGACGTGGGGATTACAGGAGCTACAATTCAAGATGAGATTTGGATGGGAACACACCATATCATCAAAATAAATAATATTTTAACGTGATTTTTTTTAAATAAAAATAAATGCAAAAGAACCCATGATAAAAAAAAAATCAGCATGTTCAAAACAGACAGGATCAGAATGGCTGCTTTGTGCTTTTGGCTCTGGCTCTGATCTCAGCGCCGCTGACTGACAGTCAGAACCTTGCGATCCAGGTTTCCATGAGTCTCACGCTGCCAGGTCCTGTTATCTCACCTTAGGAGTGACAATTCTTTGAGTGACCTAAACCATTTTCTTGGAGACTTCCACTCACCTCCTCTCATTTTAAGTCCTTTCCTCTGATGGTGTAATTTATAACTCAAGTCTCTGAAAAAGGAGGAAATGCCATTTCTCCTTTGGAAGGCCACTATTTTGCACTGGATGTGGGTGCTAACACAGCAAAGGCTGGGAACTGTAACTATGAGCTTCCAATTCTTCTCATGAATTCTAGACACAGGACTTTTTTTTTCCTTTTAAATGATACCCATGTTCAGCCAGGTGAGATGGCTCACTCCTGTAATTCCCAGGGTTTTGGGAGGCTGAGGCAGGAGGATTGCTTGAAACCAGGAGTTGGAGACCAGCTTAGGTGACACAGCAAGACCCTGGCTTTGCAAAAAGTTTTAAAAATTAGCTGAGCCCAGTGGCATGCAGCTGTTAGTCCCAGCTACTCAGGAGGCTGAGGCTGGATGATCACTTGAATCCAGGAAGTTGAGGCTGCGGTGAGCTATGATCATGCCACCGTACTCCAGCCTGGGGGACAGAGTAAAACTCTGTCTCTATAGAAATTTTAAAATTCGTTGATTTTTAATTGTTCATGGCGGTGCACGCCTGCAGTCCCAGCTACTCAGGATGCTAAGGCCGGGGGATCACTCAAGCCCAGGAGCTCAAGGCTGCAATGAGCTATGATCACGCCATTACACTCCCTATAAATATTCCTTTCCCTATGAATGCCTTTGCAGAAATGACTGTATCTGATTATTAACATTCTAGCAGCTATAATTTATCTCTAAGAACGATGAATATTAGGTGACTGGAAATAACCTGAGTCATAACAGTATCATCTCCTGCCATGCCATCCTGAAAAATCTTGGCAAATATGATTCACCAAGTTATTCATTAACGTTAATGAAGATGTTCTATAACTTGAACTTGACGCTGTCTTCTGGCAACAGGACCTATCCTGGCAAAATATGACAACAAACCCTACTTTTGACATTAATTTTCACTGAGCTTCTCTTCCCTTCTCCTGTGTAAAAAGAATCTAGTCAAACAATAGCAATAATAATAAGTTAACAACAACAAGAACCATGAAGACAGCACTATTTATGAGTGCCAGTGTTCATTGTTGGCTGTGCATGGTGGCTCATGCCTGTAATGCCAGCACTTTGGGAGGTTGAGGCAGGAAGATCACTTGAGCTCAGAAGTTTTGAGACCATCCTAGGTAATATAGTGAGACCTCGTCTCTACTAAAAATCGTAAAAGGTAGGTGGGCATGGTGTCGTGTGCCTGTAGTCCCAGCTACTCAGGAGGCTGAAGCGGAAGGATTGCTTGAGCCCAGGAGATCAAGGCTGGAGTGAACTATGAGTTCACCACTGCACTCCAGCCTGGGCAACAGAGTGAGAGCCTATCTTAAAAAAAAAAAAAAAAAAAAAAAGGCAACACAAAGATCACTTATCAGAGGAAGAAAAGGATGAGAAAAAAGAAGCGTGAGAAAAATGAGGAGAGGTTATTATTTCTTGAACACCATAAAGAAGTACATAGATTTGGGTTTTTGGTTTTTTTTTTTAACCCCAGAGAGTGAAGTAGGGTTGGGAGAGAATGCCTGAATTCACTCATTCAACAAAGCATTCTTCCAGAACGCGATGCTCCAGTAGACACCCCAGGACATAGAGGTCACATTTATTGAGTGTTTGTGGTGCACCATATTTTCTTATTAGCTCTGATACCCACCTGTGTAAGTGGGCGCTTTTGGCCTACTACCCATTCTACAGACAAGGAAACCAAGGCCAGAAAGGTACAATATCTCACCCAGAATCCCACAGTTAGACCTGGGGCAGCCCAGATTCCAACTCAGGCAGATAACAAACCCTAGGGCTTGTTCTCATAATCAACACACTCTCTTGCCCCCAATTTCCCCATGGTCATTCTTTCCACTAACAAATGTCTGTTGTGCCTCAATTCCGTACCCTCGTCCGGCAATAAGCAATAGGACGGCCTCGGTTTCTGTTCTCCTTCCCTGACACGTTCCCAAGCATTCCCCATTATTCCCATAACTTCCCACCCCTCCTTCAAAGCACTCTTACCTGCCCTCAGTCCTGCAGGAAAATCCAGATAAAATTCCTCTTCATTTTGTGGTTCAAAGCCAGAGGGACAGGCAACAGGTCCTCTTTTTCTTATTAACTAACCGGTAAGGGCCATCTTTTTCTGCCTCTGTGCTGTGTCTCCTTAAAGACAGCATTCCTTGCTGTCTTGGTCACATGGCTGGGCGGGATGCCACCCAGATCATGGGGAGGGGGTGTTTACTGAGCTCATTGCAGTTTTACACCACTCTGGTTATCATCTTTTTCTTCACCCACCAATGAATAACCGGGTCTTACCTGGTTAAAATGCAAATCAGTCTTCCACCTCTAATATCACAGCTGCACCTATGGCCTCTGTCCACTGAGTGTGCAATGATGAAGCCCTAACTCAGGTTCCAAATTGTGCAATTCCTTCTACCTGAACCCTAACTCCTCCCTCTTATTAATGTTCTTTTGACATCACCTCAATAAAACGGTCAAAGTCCTTTACAGAGGTTATTTTATTTCGTGGACACCATAAGGAAGTAAATAGATTTGTTTTATGTGTGTTTTTTAACTCCAGGGAGTGAAGTGGTGTGGGAAGAGATTACCTGAATTCATTAATCCAACAAAGAATGGAATGCAATGAGGCCGGGCACGGTGGCTCACGCCTGTAATCCCAGCACTTTGGGAGGCCGAGGCGGGTGGATCACGAGGTCAAGAGATCGAGACCATCCTGGTCAACATGGTGAAACCCCGTCTCTACTAAAAAATACAAAAAATCAGCTGGGCATGGTGCCGCGTGCCTGTAATCCCAGCTACTCGGGAGGCTGAGGCAGGAGAATTGCCTGAACCCAGGAGGCGGAGGTTGCGGTGAGCCGAGATCGCGCCATTGCACTCCAGCCTGGGTAACAAGAGCGAAACTCCGTCTCAAAAAAAAAAAAAAAAAAAAAGAATGGAATGCAATGCCCCACTAGAGACTCCCATGCACTGGCTACTTTCTTTTTTCTGAGACAGGGTTGGCTCTGTCGCCTAGGCTGGAGTTCAGTGTCACTCACCGCAACCCCCACCCCCCGGGCTCAAATGAGCCTCCTGCCTCGGCCTCCCAAGTTAGCTGGGACTATAGGTGCAAGCCACCATGCCTAATTTTTTGTATTTTTTGAAGAGATAGTGTTTTGTCATGTTGCCCAGGCTGGTCTTGAACTCCTGAGCTCAAGTGATCCACCCCCTTCAGCCTCCAAAAAACTGCTGGGATTATTATTACAGTGGCATAAGCCACTGTACCTGGCCTGGCCATGCTTTTCTATAGATACATCCCCTTCAGCAACATGTGGACCACAGAGGTTTAACTCTGTAATTATAATTACCAATGGCATGTCACTTCTGGAAATAAAGGACAGGCAGTACTAAACCAGCGCACGTTTCAAGGCAGTTGATTTGAATACAAATCCTTTGAGCCTCAATTTCCTTCCCATTAATCTACAAAGTGGGAACTATATACGCTCCCTCCTCCTAGTGTTGATAAGGGTTATATCAGTTAACATTTGAGAAAATTTGGACTAAGATTATTTCTAGCCACCTAAGACTCAGATTCCCAGGGATAAACCCCAGCAGATGCGATGCTAATTTATCACAAAGGGTTTTCTCTGAGAAGGAGATTTCATACTCATATAGAAAGAAAGAAGGCAGTAGATAATCCAGGACTGGATCAAATTTCTGTATTTTTACAAATGCCAGAACAAATAAGATCTGTTTCCTACGGCATTTACATCTGGGGGAGTATCATTTCAAAGAAAAAAGAATGTCCTATTTCTATAATTCACAAAAAGAATTGGGGCCTACAGTTACTGTTCCTTTTATTTATTTATTTATTTTTAAGACAAGCTCTTGCTTTGTCAACTGAGGCTGGAATGCAGTGGTGCAATCATAGCTCACTGCAGCCTCTGTCTCTTGGGCTCAAGCAATTCTCTTGCCTCACTCAGCCTCTCAAGTAGCTGAGACTGCAGATGTGAACCACCACATTTGGCTAACATTTTTATTTTTTGTAGATATGGGGTCTCACTATGTTGCTCAGGCTTGTCTTGAACTCCTGGGCTCAAGTGATCATCCCACCTTGGCTTCCCAAGGCATTGGGATTACAGGCATGAGCCACGGCACCCAGCCCCATTATTTGATGTATTAGCACTAAATGCGAAATAGTGGCTTTCCAATGGAGAAATGGAATTTTCTCCTGTGGAAGAGACTTGAGTTACAAATCGTATGATCAAAGGAAATGAGAGGAGGAGAGTGGTGGTTTCCAAGAAGATGGTTTGCTTTGTCACAAGGCCTGTCATTACTGGGGTGAAAGGACAGTACCTGGCAGCACATGACTCTAGGAACATCTGGATCGTGGGATTCTGCCTGCCAATCATCATGGGGCTGAGCCAAATGAGCTCCAGGAAAGAAGTCAAAGCAGTAATTTTGATCCTTTTGTAGCTATCAGTCAGGATTTCCCAACCTCGGCAGTACTGTCATTTGGGGTCAGACAACTCCCTGTTGTGGGGAGCTGGGGGGACTGTTCTGTGCATTGTAGGGTGTTGAGCAATATGTCCAGCTTCTATCTGTTAGATACCAGGAGGACACCCAACCCCACGCCATCTGCAAGCTATGGCAACCAAAAATGTCTTCAGGAATGGTCAAATATCCCCTGGGAGGCAAAACTGCCTCCAGCTGAGAACCACTGCTGTAAACGTTACCAAGTTCCGTGGACTTTGAACAGTGTCTTCTCACTCTCCATTGAGGAAGAGTCCATGAGACAAGGACATCAGCAGCTCAACGTTTTCTCTAACAGAGTTTTCTCTCCTCTGCTTCTCCTCTTCTAGAAACTATACCATATTTTTACATAGTTCAGTTTACGACACATACATGCCCCATAAATTGTAATTGTATGTTTCTTGACTACAGGTAGACTATAAATTGGCAATAGTGGCTGCTTCCAGAGTGAGAAACTGGATGGCTGGAGACAGATATGGAGGGAGATACTTTCCAATATTTGCTTAGGCATCTTTTGGATTTTTTTCCATTTTTCTTTTTTAGAGACAGAGTCTTGTTTTGTTGCCCAAGCCGTGCTCAAGCAATCCTCTTGCCTCGGCCTCCTGAGCAGCTGGGACTACAGGCACTCACCACTATGCTCACCTAATTTCTCTTTATTTGCCAAGATGGTGTCTCCCTATGTTGCCCAGGCCTGTGAGGGTCTCCCTGTGTTGCCTGGGTCTCAAACTCCTGGCCTCAAGTGATCCTCCTGCCTCCGCCTCCCAAGGCTCTGGGATTACAAGCCAGTGTGCCTGGCCTCTCTGGGGTTGTATACCATATGGCAGTGTAACTTTTTCAAAAAATAAGTTAAATCTTGAAAATTGTCTCCTGTGAATTGCACACAGTATGAATAGCATGTTCCCATCTTTTTAAAAGATAAGTAAAAATAATCTCTATTATTACACCCAGGAGGAGAGGGAGAAATCTGGAATACCACCACATGAAACTCCAAACAGCAGTTACGACCAGGAGATGAATTAGCAGGGTTTTTCACTTTCTATGCAAATATTTTTATAAATAAAATTTTAAAATAACTTGCATGTGTATTGTGTTAGTAATTGGAGAAAACAACAGAAAAAGTAAAAGAAAAAGATCTATTTCCTAGAAATTCCATTTGACACAGCAATCCCATGACTGGGTATATACCCAAAGAACTATAAATCATTCTACTATAAAGACACATGCACACGTATGTTCATTGCAGCCCTGTGTACAATAGCAAAGACCTGGAATCAACCCAAATGCCCATCGATGATAGACTGGACAAAGAAAATGTGGTACATATACACCATGGAATACTACGCAGCCATAAAAGACAATGAGTTCATGCCCTTTGTAGGGACCTGGATGAATCTGGAAACCATCATTCTCAGCAAACTGACACAAGAACAGAAAACCAAACACCGCATGTTCTCACTCATAGGTGGGTGTTGAACAACAAGAACACATGAACTCAGGAAGAGGAGCATCACACACTGGGGGCAGTTGTGGGGAGTAGGGGAGAGACAGTGGGGGGTGGAGGGGGGGTGGGCAGGGATAACATGGGGAGAAATGACAGATATAGTATGCACCTAAAGTTAAATAAATAAATTTAGAAAAAAAAAAAAAAGAAAGAAAAGAAAAAGATCTATTTCCAAGGTCACCGGGGAGCTCCTCAAGTTTGGGAAGTGAGGAAGAGGGAGAACCTTCTGGCAGCAGCAGATGCTGGGAGCCCGAGACACAGGAAGCAGGGATCCTAGATAGAGGCTGATGATTGAATTAAGGGGTGCAGTGAGGGGGGCATGAATTAAGAGGGAAATGAAAATAAATGAGCAGATGCTGGAATAGAAAAGATAGCTCTGAGGCATTGGACAGGTTATGAATTTCCTTGAGCCTGCCTCAGTTTCCTCAGCTGTCAAATGGAAGTCATTATAATACACAGTGGCCAACATTTATCATTACATTGTCCTTACCACCATCTATGTGTGGGTTGTATTTAATCCTCACAGCAGCCCTATGAGTTAAGTACTATTAGAATCAACCCAGTTTACAGATGAGTCATTCGAATCACAGAGAGATTAAGTAACTTGGCCCAAGGTCACACAGCAAGGAAGTGACAGAGGCAGGATTTTAACCCAGGTGGTCTGGCTCTGGAGCCTGAGTTCTATAGATGACTAGAACTGGGACTTAGCACGATACCAGGCACATGGTAAGCAGAACAGTCATTAAATACTATGATTATGTTAAAAGGCTAGGATTCCTCATCCACCAAGCACCATATTAAAGGCTGTAATGCCTTGCCCTAAGAGGAAAATACAATGTCCCTCCCATCCCATGCCAGACTTACTGTCCCCAGAAACTGCCCTGCTCCCCCCACCTTTTTTGAGACAGAGTTTCTCAATGTCACCCAGGCTGGAGTGCAGTGGCACAATCTTGGCTCACTGCAACCTCCGCCTCCCAGGCTCAAGCAATTCTCATGCCTCAGCCTCCTGAGTAGCTGGAACCACAGGCATGCACCACCATGCCCTGGTAATTTTTGTACTTTAGTAGAGAAAAGGTCTTGCCATGTTCCCCGGGCTGGTCTTGAACTCCTGAACTCAAGTGATCTGGCCGCCTTGGCCTCCCAAAGTGCTGGGAATATAGGCTTGAGCAACTGTGCCCAGCCTGCCCTGGCACATTTAAAGGCAGCATTTGCCCTACCAGAATGCAAAACTCTTCAAAAATTTGACAGGTGGAAATCCCTGGAAGGAGACCGTCTGGATGAGAAGTAGGTGGTAGGGTGTGCATGAAGTCCTAGCTACTTGGGAGAATGAGGCAGGAAGATTATTTGAGGCCAGGAGTTTGAGACCAGCCTGGGCAACACAATGAGACCTTGTCTCTACAAAAAATTTAAAAATTAGCTGGTTGTAGGTGGTGAGCACCTGTAGTCCTAGATACTCGGGAGGCTGAGGTGGGAGGATGGCCTGAGCCCGGACTTTAAGACTGCAAAG